AATTGATTTTAATTTGCGCTTATTAGTAATTATTGATTCCCATTTTATTCTTAGCATATCCTCTCCTTTATCTAACATATGATATGTATATTGGCGTCACCCACAAGACGAGCAGTTGGATCAACTTTTACTCTTATTCTCAAACTCTATAGTGATGATAGTGTGAGAGAAAAGCTTTTATTAATGCACACACTCAATAATTAAAAAAATCTGAATATATTAACTTTATAAAGATCAAATTGGTGTAGTCCTTTATGTGGTCGTAGTCTCCTTTCGTTGTATAGAAGTTGTTTGACCTTGTTTTCGCAACTTGGTCATATAGGAAGACATACAAAAACCCACCTAGTCCACTGAGTCTATTGTATTTATGATAATTTGCAGAGTCAGTCAGTGGACGATGTACATTCCCATATGTTTCGCCGGCATCGTCAGTGAGTCTTGCCATTAGCACTACACTACAAGTCGTCAAAGAGACAAATGAAGCCGATCCTTTGACCACTTGTCTGCTACACAATCGTGGTATCTCTCCTTCCGCCCCGGGCTAATCCCTAATCCTATGTCCTCGTATGACGTCTTCACTATGACAATTTTTTACTTGCTTAATCAAATGTGCTATGGTGTGCCCTTTTGGACAGCTTTCATAAGAATTCTACACTCCACGCTTGCTTTCTCACCCCCTTCATCCTTGTTCTGGGAATGTTGATCAGTCTGCCATATTTATTACGCAGTCCTCCTTCCCTAGGTCTTATCTGAGTCTCCCTCTTGTCCCGTAGAATCCGTCTACTTTTCCCTGGTTCAAGTATTTCACTCGACCACTGACACCCAATCTGTGCTACTCGATGCGTTATTACCCATCCCCTGCGTCTGGGTGACTAATTCCAGGGTAAAGCCTCTGAGTAAGTCTCATGGCCAAGCCTTTGCGACATGAACCACGTCTATGGTAAAACGGGCCTAGTGTCAGCCCACCAGCTCTAGTCTCCGCCTCGTCTATACTGCTTCTATCCGGAATACCAAGTTTATGACTTCATATGCCCTAGTCTCTTGTGTCCCAACCCAGAAATGTTATGGTACTGCTAGCTTTTTTTATATTCAATATTATCATAGATACAATGGACTCCAAACTAGATCCGTTATCGACGTTTTTTTATTAATAAATGGCACTGCTCTATTGTCTTACGTTTGTTTGTGCTACCATAATTTCTAAGGCATTTTACTTCATTAGATTTAATCTACCTTATGGATGCTTACCAGCTGATAAATGTTTTGCACCCGCTAATATTTATTATCTAGCTAGTGGTCAATTAGAAAATATTGCTTTTCATTGCCAACTATTTTACAGGAATGTCTACAGTCTTTATTTTATTCATTTTTTCACTTGTA